TTGAATACTGCTAAAGGCTAGATCTGATAAAAAAAATTAATTTACATAACATCTCCGTCAGTACTAGCATGTAAGGAATTACGGTATGTGCAGGGAGCCGCCATCTGTCGTGTTTTTTTTTTTTTCGTGGTTAATTCCACAAGAGAAGCCCCAAGGGCTTAAACACGTCGGAATTCAAGCGTTTGATCCAATTTGGGGGAAGTTCATAGCCTCGGCCAGGCCTTTCTACGGGAATATGGATCGTAGAATTCAGCAAAAAAAGAAAATAAATGGGCCAAGGGAGTCCGGCCGCGGGGAGGTACTAGTAGTTTCTTTCCCTGTGCGGCCAGTCAAACCTACAAGGCGGCCAAACTCCCCTGGCAAATATTCTCCAATAAATAGCCAGCGTAGTTAGTCTGGTAGAGACTAGAAAGTTCATGACTAGAGCGGACAGTTGTTACTATGGGTTTACTGGAGGTTTTAGTCGTTACCAGGGAAAATAAGACGACAAAGTCAGAAGTGGTGCGTATCCACGCAACTAGTGTGTTCGGTAGTTCTCATCAGAAAATCATACAGAGAAAATCATAGAGAGAGAAAGAGTATGTGGGCAGTATCTTCTTACAGCTAAATTGTATCAGAATATTTGCCATGACACAGGAATCAGTATCATTTTGTATTTGCGGACTCCAAAACACACGAAGTTCTCATGAATAGGCACAAGAGGTTTAGAAAAATGAAACGGATTTTTTTAAAACCCAATTGAACACACATGTATGTAGAATTTCTGCTTATTACAAAAATTCCGAGTTCTCTCACCCTTACCGATGAAAATGTTGCCTTCGAAACTTTTCAGCCCTGTAACCTTTAAAAGTTATGAATTTCTTAGAAAATTTCAAACATGGAACCGTTAATTTTCGATTGGTTTGTGTAACAGCGTGCTCTTCATGAATTCCAAAGAAACAATAAGAATTAACATGTCATGCTCTGCTGAAACCCCACATCCCTCCGGAAGGGATTATTTCACCAGAAACAATAGGAACCACTCACGCGTACTCTTTTCTTACACAAATTGCAAAATCACTGGTTACAATTTCGTGCGTGCGCCGGTTTTACATAAAAATGATGCCACGTTTGTCGCAATTTCTAAGCCGTTTTAAATCTAACATTTGTGTAGAAGTTCTGGCTTCAAGAGATCTTATGTAGCTATAATCCACTTGAAGTGTTGGAAGATATTACTGGGTGATTTCTTAGTTCATTGTTGACTGTTCACGCCTAGTTAAGCCCATCATCATCATCATCATGTCGGGAGTTGTAGTTCCCGGTCCCAAACCCTCTCTCGCCAGTCCACTTTGTCCGTCATGGCGCTCGCCAGGTACTCCTTTGGAAGACCCACATCAGCAGCCAGCAGGTCTATGAAAGGATATGATTTTTCAAATATATTTTGTTAGCGCTAAAGCTCAGATTTGAAGTGGACTTAATCATATCTTAATCTACCTCAAGTGTTTGAAAATCCTACATGGTCATTTTGTAACTAAATGTTGAGTTAACGCCTAGTTGATTTCACATCTGGTGATAAAAAATTTGGGTGTAATGAAAGAGCCAGATGTCTAAGTGCCTTTTAGTTTGTGTTAAAGCTATAACTGAAGTGGAATTTTGTTGATTCTTGATATCGTAATCCATCTGAAGTGTTGGAAGATCCTATAGGGTGATTTCTTTATTAATTGTTTATGATTACGCCTAGTTGATTTTGTATCGGTTAGTGTGAAATTTGGGAGGGCTAAGTAGAACCAGATGCCTTCGATACACAGTTTGAAGAAACTACTTTTAAATCTGTCTTCAAACTATTTGAAGTTTGATTTGGCGATCAATAAATCACTTAATAGCAGATCTGTAAGTTAGAGTCAAGAGCGAAATTACAAGTACTAGTATATGAGAATTTGGGGTTGACAACACCCAAACCAATGAGGTTTAAAATCCCTTTGCCTAAACCAAGAAGGTCAAATGCTGCCCAAACTATATTTCTCTTTCAAACAATTTTATAGTTTGAACAAGCGATCTTCAAAATCTACTGCAGTCAGATTATGTTAACATCAACTGGTTGCTTGTACAACGTACATAATTTCCTCATGTGTTTTTCAAACAACTGTGACTCACTGTTTATTTCAGTTTAGGAACCTTGGACTATGCGGGTTGGTTGACCTTTGACCCGCACGTTCGAAAAGAACTGTTTGTTCGAGTGGGAGGGGGGCGTGACGAGCGATCGCAGCTTTGTTGACCTCCACATCAAAAATGAATCACACAATATCGTAAATCAATTCTTCACTGTAGTTTACTCTGAACTTTGTTTACTTTCATACATGAAAGGTTTTGATACCTGTACCATATCGATCTATTCAAGATAATGATCATGAACATTGTCACTGTGAACGTTAGGTCATCGACGTCTAATTCTGTGGATAGTTCTAAATACAAAGACAGTATAAAATTTGCCAGGCAGTATCTATCAATTTGCCGGACAGTAACTTCATACGTCGGTGGAGGTTAGACATCCAGGTAATAAGATACGCAATGAAAAATAGTTACTCAAGCAACTGGATATGATTTTGGAACCGGTCAGACGTTTCAGGTAGCATCCACCACCTTTCGTCAGTGACACTAGTTACTTCATCCCTTCAATAATTTCAAACGTTCATTTTCATCCCACACTACATACCCTTGTTTTAAAAGTCTAATGGCACTTTAGTTACTACTATGTTACCAGTAGATGCCATACTCTGTACTATGCATTATATATGTATGATTGTTGTATGTGCAATAGATCGAGACTCTTTATTGACACAACAAAAAGTACAGGGACTTTTGTATGGTCTTCTACAACTAAAGATCTAACAAAGCTATTAGTATGAATACATGTGTGGATAACACCATCCTACGTACAGATAGAATATATGTATGCAGTAACTTATTATTGTCTTTGTTTGGGCGTCACAGTTTTTGGTCGGTAACGAGAAAAAATGCTCCACCGGAGGGCCGTGTTTATCTACCCGTAAAAGATGGAAGACCATGGAGGTATAATTATCCGTCCCGCATGTCAAACCAGAGAGACAACTACGTCTTTTGTCCCCCGTATCAAAACTCCCGGCGGGATATTTTCTATACAGCTCCATGCAAATTTGTGGCACGTCCGTTGAATGGACAAGCCCGTGCCTGGAGACAAGAAGCCTCGTGACTTCATGGGACGTACGTTCGGGCGCATCTCCATTTGAATCGACCAATCAAATGTGTCGACACGTGGGGACATCGGAACATCACGCGCCAAATCTTGTCGTCTCCGCCTAATCTCCAAGCAGATCGTTTTTGTGGCTGCAGAGACAGTATCGAATTAGCCAGGCAGCTACCATTTGCCACACGAAAGACGAAGATACCAGTGCAAAAAGAAACCTTTAAAACACATAAAAAGACGTAAAAGTGAGTCGAAGCCTAGACCTGTGCTTGGAGAGTAGCACCAAGGCCAGTATCCACTAGTCTTAAAGTAGATTTTTTTTTGTGGCTACAAGGCTACATACTAGTATATCAAACTTTCAGGGCGGTATTCAAATAGGCAATACGTCGCCGTTTGGCTGGCAAAAAATATATCATAGAGTTCATGTGGCCTTCTAGTTGAAAGTGCTAGCCCAACTGTCACCCACACTCTCCTGGCCAATTTAATATTGCCCCTACTTTGGCCTAATTTTACCCCCTACGAAAGCCTGGTGGAGGCTGTGTAGACTCAGAAATTAGGCTATCAATGACCCCCTAGTAAAGCCTGGTGGAGGCTACCCCATGGCCCCTAGTCGCCCCACCCTCGACAACTCAGAAAACAATAGCGCTTATTTGACTAGACCGAACTGCAAGAGATAAGAAACGTTTACCGTCTGGGCAGGCAAAAATTGATCGTATCATGATCCTATCTATCGACCGAACTAAACTTTCAGCTTTTTGAGACAACCTCTCCGAGACGCCATGGGCCTTTGTCTCGACGCAAGAACGCGTCAGAACACTGCCTTACAAGATGTTAGATTTGACACAAGACAAGCTGGGTAACAATAGAGATGGTTGCAAAGATTGAAAGAGAATAGACTAGCTGCATTATATTACGCTAATGTTTATAGCTTTTGTATGGCTTCAGTTCAGAGGTGGATAGAAAGAGTAGAAATTGTTCAAATAGACAGATAAAATGCCCTGATGAGTGGCAAACTGTACCCCTCTAGTGGACCAACTCCCCTGGCATTTTATCTGTCTATACATTCTACCCTTTCCAGCCGCCTTATACGCCTGGTAGAGGCTACAATGCTTACACAGATCGTCACTTTATTGGTGCTACAGACAACTTTGTTTAAGACGTGTGAACAATCCAGATTTCAGTCTTGTCGTGGTCTAAAAGATTTGCAGTAGACTGAAGAGAGAAGTGGAGCCCAGGCGAACTCTTGAACCCAAGTTTCTCGCGCTGCTCGCTCTCCCGCCTCGGGGGAAGGTTTTCCCTCTTCTGTTCGCCTCCAAAGACTGGGATTTTGGGGGTCTTTGGGAGCGTTTATGTGCTATTTTCTGATCGCATATAGACAACATAGCCGGCCTGGCTGAATTACCCCCGTTTTTTTTTAAACTTGGCTAATCAGAAAACAGCCGAAGACCACCAAACCCCCAGTTCTATAAGCCTGCTACGAAGGCTAAGTTTTCCCTGTTCTGTATGTAGCGATGCGGATCAAACAACCGCCCCGCCGAAGCACAACAAAGCACACATCATCATCAGCGCGCGCGCTGAATCGTAATGTCGACCCGCCGGGCCGCTCGGTGGGCGGAGCTCCCTGGGGGCGACTCTGCCACGCGCCGGCCACGCTTATTTGCAAAACAAGCGGCCATTATCCCCTGTGCGAGGTGGAAAAGAGGCGGGGTTTGCTGCAGATTAGCCCCTGGGTAAACACGGCGGCTCGCGCCGATATAAGGCGGCGTGTGACGACGGGGAGGTCAGACGAACCTGAGAGTGAGAACGAGAACACCTCGCCGGTACTTGCTTGCTCCTGTTCTCGAGCGCGCCACGCGACTCACACGCGAGCCAGACTTCACGTGCCACTTCTTGCAAGTTTTTACCACTCACCGGAGCTTCCAACCGTCTTCCCTTCGGCAAGCCATGGACGCCGTCGCCGACAACATCGCCACCTTCGACTCGATGCCGTCCACGTTCTTCGACGTGTCCGCCCGCCCGGACTCCCTCCGGCTCACCTGCACGCCCTCGCCGACCGACTCCGTCGGGTCCACGGGGACCAAGCGGCCGCGCCCCGCCGACACCCCGGAAGTGTTGCGGTGCAAGCGGAGGATCAACTTCGACGGGCTGGGCTACTCGATCCCGCAGAGACCCCCACAAGCCGTCGCCAGGAGGAACGAGCGAGAGAGAAACCGCGTTCGACTCGTCAACAACGGCTTCGCGACTCTCCGCAACCACGTCCCCAACGGTAGGGTCAACAAGAAGATGTCGAAAGTCGAGACCCTGAAGTCGGCCGTCGACTACATTCAACAACTCCAACAGCTCTTGGCCGAAAGCGATGCCGTGAACGCTGTCTTCAGCACGGGTAGTCCCAGCCCGCAGTACACCATGTACAGCCCGCCCGCACCCCAACCCAACTATGACTCCTACAGCAGCGATGGGTCGCCCTGCCCGCCCCTCTCACCCGAAGAGGAAGAGCTCCTAGACTTCACTTCGTGGTTTTAACTAGGTCAGTCTCATCACTTTTTATCACTTTACAACTTCTAAAACAAATCTTATACATTGCTGTAACCTCCAGAGCTAGAGTAAAATATGGTTGGATTTTTGCTACGTGTAGGTCTTTTGGGTTTTAGAAATGGGCAGCATATAGGCGCTAGCGCGTGTATATATACTACATGTACTACCGGTATAGCACACAAAGGAATACCGTCGCGAGGTCTAGCCGTCCTAGTGTACGTAATCTGCCCGTGAAGACTCTCGGTACGGCTGATTAGAAGGTCGGTTTGTGTTTGTAACGCCAACTCAAGCGTCTGTTTGCTTTGGTAGATAAGCCGGCGGGCCGGTATTGTTCCCTCGCACGTGGGCGCAGCCCAACAACTACCTGTTCTTACAACTCCTTTCTGTGTCTCAAGTTTAAATCGTCAAAAACTACCATGCCACTGAATTCTCTCTCGCTGATTTTACAGATAGAGTTTGGGGTGGTTGAGATCAAATGTTGTAGGAATTGAGGTGTTTTTATTTAAACTAAGAAGGGAGTTAGGTACTAGGCTGAAGCGTGGGTAGTGTGTGAGATGTTTGTCTTTAGCTCTCCGCACACGCGTGGCTCGTCTACAGGGTTATACTCTACTGTGTACTTAGCGGGCAGTTTTGTAAGACGGGGGGATTTAGACCTGGGCTCGGCCGGGCGAGGCAGTTCAAAGCTAAACCCCGCATATTCATGTTCCTCTTTTCTCACACAGGGCCGGTCCCAGAGAGTATTCAGAGAGGGGACAAAGAACCCAGTCAGGCGACAACGCGACATAGAACGGCACGAGCCATCGTGAGGACAGGGAGGGGCCACTTGGTCAAACACTGCAGAACAATGGGAGGGACGACACCTCCGCGTGAGGATCACCCCTCCGGGAAGAATGGCCTCGCCCGATTAAAGCTGATAAAGACATGTCCAGGGCGGGGCCAACTCGGCGGGACAGGGGTGTCAGCACGACAACAAAGGACCCACAGGGAAAAGGCGACATCAATCCTGACCAGACAGTTGTTTTGGACTTGTCTTCGGACGAAACATGAGCTTGTGGACTACTTCTTGTGCCGCGGACGCGCCTTCGTGATTTCAATGTTGACTTACCTAAAAAAAAGCTCCGCCAAATATCGTAACTTTGTAGACCCTTTGTCTAAACTTGGGATATTCCATTTCAATCGTCATGGGGAGGTTCTGAGAAGAATTTCACTATACCCCCGAAGGTTCTTCAAATTTCTATGAAGCTCTTTTATATTTCGGCTCTCACAATTGCAATTTTATGTCTATATGTTGATTTTCTATTTTAACTTTGAAACTCAATTTAAAAAGATACCTCACCCATCCCCGTGAAACTTCGACTTGGAATAGCCCAAGACAGGACTGATAAATTATAGCTTCCAGCCAAAGTGCAAGTCACTATTACCCTTCCAGGTACGTTCTATTGTTTTAGCTTACACAAAAATCGTGCATTCTTGGGTGGCTTTGTTTGCGATTTTGCTTCCTTAATAGTCCTAAGATATAATGATAGTGTCAGTAAGATTTTTGAAAATGAAAAGCAGTTTTCTTACTGCCGAGTGTACATATTTTCTACATAGGCTACCAAAATTGTACTGCCCGTTGCGGCAAGTTTTGTAAATTTGATACACAGATTTCTATATATATTTTTGTACACGTTCGATTGTTTTGATATCAATCGAATTTTGAATAATCTTTGTAAATAGCAATGCCTGAAAAATGCGGGACATGGAGAAATGGCTTCCTCTTAAAGACGGTTTCCAAAGCTTTGAAACCAGTACTTTGCTTCTGTATAGATTATAGATTATTGATAAAAATCGGGATCAGTGGTCGATACTTCTTTCTTGTACAGCAACAGTGCCTAGTCTCCACCAGACTCCTTTGCAGGTTGAATAAATAGTAGACATCAGCCTAAAAAGAATGTAAGTGGCTATAGGAGTAGGCCAGCCATAGAGGGTCCAGTTTACCAACTCCCCTGGCCAGCTACATTATTTCTGGGCCGATTTCTACTATTTATTCAGCCTGCAAAGGAGTCTTATTGAGACTAAATATTGCGTACTTTGGTACAGCATAGTCCGTACTGCTACCAATGCAGGGTGTGGTTGGGAGATTTCTATATATGATATATTAGTTTCTATCAGACTGTACATTTCTTGCTTCCAGCTTTATATGCATTTATAGATACACAAATATATATATATATATATATTTACATGCGGCGTGGGATGACGATTGGTTGCCAAGGCAACGTGATGAATAAATTCTAATTTTTATCAAGAAACGATCTTATTGTGATGTTTGTATCTCTGTGTGTGTGAAGAAGGTAAATTCTAACTGTTTTAGATTGTACTCAAGGTCCGTATTTAAAAGAAAAAAGAACATCAAAAATAAACATACAAAGTAAGCCCTTTTTTACTGGTATTCAATAGTTGGCCCTAGCTAACACAAACCTATCATTCGCCAAAGATATATTTTAAAAGCTTTACAGACTATACAATTCACCAGTCAATAGTATTCTATGAAAATCAGTCGAGCAAAAAACTCGTAAATGCTACACAAGTGAACCAAACGTACTTGTTTTCCCACACATTATTTAACTCCCCAATGACCACCGAACACAGTAGTGATGATTCGCCCCCCCCCCCCCCCATGGGACTGTGCCCTTATTTGGTATGACGCCGATGAGTCATGCTTACTCATATTACAGCGACGTCATGTGATAATGAGTCAAACTTAAGCCTGGGTGGCAGACTGTTGTCAGGGTCAGTATACAGGCAAGCTCCTCGGCTCCAAGGCTAGCCTGGGTGCCAGACTGCTGCCAGGACCAGTATACAAACCAGCTCCTCGGCTCCAGGGCTGGCCTGGGTGCCAGACTGTTGTCAGGGCCAGTATACAGGCCAGCTCCTCGGCTCCAGGGCCAAGATGTCTCCAGTGAAATTTTATTACTGATGCTCTAACTAGATTCTGATGTGTCCCAAAGTACAGTCGCACACAGCCTATATAACTTGTAAGATCAAGCAGGCATAAAAGTACCATAGCATAGATATAAAGATAGATATATATATATATAATACGGACCTTCCATCTTGTTCTTGAAATGTGAAAAATTACTCAATGACAAAAATTACATAATTGGTCCCCTGTTTGATATACATATGACCTGCAATAGTGCTTCACTGAATAAATAAAAAAGGCAGTCTCGACCCTCCCCACTTAATGAAATGACGCCCCCCTGATTACCCCCCCCCCCCCAACGATTACCTGTACCGTCCCTTGGCGCCAACCCCACCAAACCTGTCATCACCCCGGCCTCACCTCGCTGATTCGCCGGTTGGACCCAGGAGCCCCCCAGGCCATGTAATCTTCACGTCAGGTGCAGTTAGTGTGATGGGTGGGCAAGTCTACAACAAGCGTCGGAAGAGATAGATGGATAGATACTTGCATACACAGACACACACACAAAGAGATACGTACACACACACACAGGTACAGACACGCACACACACACACACACACACACACTCGCCCACGAACACACACACACATTAACACACACACACACACACACTCACCCCAGGAAAAACTTGAGTGAGATCCTAATGATACGAACAAACGACTCGCTCACTTATTTCATGCCCTGTGATGCCACGAGGCTAGCCTCCACCAGGCCTTTCTACGGGAATACGGATCGTAGAATTCAGCAAAAAAGAAGGAGCAAAATTGGCCAAGGGAGTCCGGTCGTGGGTAGGTAGTTTCTTTTCCTCCGACTGCGCGGCCAGTCAAACCTACAAGGCGGCAAAACTCCCCTGGCAAATATTCTCCTATACATAGCCAGCGTAGTTAGTCTGGTAGACTACCACGAGGCCATCCAGGCCTCCAGGCAACAGTTCTATCTACCCTGTCGCGTGCCACCATGATTATACCCATCTCTTGTTATCTCTCTCCACCCTCATTTACTCACTCACTCTTTCACTCATTCTCCCATTCACTCACTCACTCACTCACTCACTCACTCACTCACTCACTCACTCACTCACTCACTCACCGATTTCCAGCCTTGTTACACAGGTAATACACGCCTCCAGGCTCCAGTTTTATCTATTTTTAAGAAGTCACCATGAGACAAAAGCCCTGTCGCGTGCCAACATGATTATACCCATCTCCTGTTATCTCTCACCTGTATAACCCCCCTTCGGCGTAACACACCAGCTACCAATTGCAATACCACCTCCCTTTATTCACTCACTCACTCACTCACTCACTCATTCAGTGTCTCACTCACTCACTCACTCACTCACTCACTCACTCACTCACAGTCACTCTCCCACTCATTCTCTCACTCATTCATTCACTGACTGATTTCCTACCTGTTAAACACAGGCCATCCAACCCACAGGCGACAGTTCGCACTTCTATCTATCTACTGAACAAGCCACCATGAGACAAAAGCCCTGTCGCGTGGCACCATGATTATACTCATCTCCTGTTATCTCTCTCCACCCTTCATTCACTTACTAACTCTCCCACTCTGTCACTCTCCCACTCATTCTCTCACCCACTCGCTCACCGATTCCCTACTAAGGCTATACACGCCTCCAGGCAACAGTTCTATCTACGAAGCCACCATATTAAAGACAAAACCCCTGTCGCGTGGCACCATGATTATACCCATCTCTTGTTATCTCTCTCCTCCCTTCAATCAGCCGTACCGACATGTATTCTCCCCCAGGCGGTTTGGGTCAGAACAGACCGTCTTTGTCTGACAACAGGGGATAGAGGATACAAACTAGCCTCCATAGCATGCCAAAAACTGGGGGTTTTGAGGGTCTTCATGGTCTTTTGAAAGCTTGTATGTGCTATTTTCTGATTGCATATAGACAACATAGTCGGCCTGGTTGGATTTTTAGCCTCCATAGAATGCCAAAAACTTGGCGTTTGGGGATCTTTAGTCCTTGGTCTTTGGGAGCTTATATGT